TACTGATAAGTATGGGGCGCTAATGTGTGAACACTTGCCGAGCCATGGACAGATCCTGATGCATTAAGTGAAACCATCCTCAAAACATTTCTGTTAATGCTCGTTTTCTTGCTGTTGCAGCTAATGTAACAGAGAGGCGACTCATTGGACACAGACAGGAGGTATGTGGCTTAAAATGGTCCCCAGACAACCAGTACTTAGCATCCGGTGAGCAAGACTACTTATAAAGCCCAAGACAGTGCATATCACTGTGAAATTGTGTTTGGTTGCAGGAGGGAATGACAACAGATTGTACGTGTGGAATATGCAGTCGCTATCGCCCGTGCAGACCTACACGGATCATCTTGCGGCTGTTAAAGCGATAGCTTGGTCTCCTCACCACCATGGGCTGCTCGCATCTGGTGGGGGAACTGCCGATCGGTGTATTCGCTTCTGGAACACCTTAACCGGCCAACCAATGCAATGTGTGGATACTGGTAGAGTGAAATTTATCCTTACGGTCTTGCGGGGATTTTGCTACAGATGGAAGTTTTTTGCCGCTTTGAATTCACTCGTTAGGCTTTTGAAAGTGTGGATTTGCTCGGTGAAATTTCCTGGTTTGCGAACAGCGTCATCAGAATCGATTGTCGAGTTCAGAAGTGAATTTTCCTTGAAAGTACAGAAGTTTTTATCCCCAAATCTGCCCCCAGTTCGATGAGCACGTTAAGTTTGAGAGACACTCGGGCGAATAGCTCTTTAGACCCTTTTGATTGTTTGGTTGGGTGTGAATGTTTCACTATCTACAGGGTGAAACAAACCTTCCTTCAAACTGTTAATTGTTTCGATGTGTTCAAATATCCGAGATGAAAGGAACGGGTTTCCACCGTGTTGTGTAGGAACTTGGGCCGAAAGTTTTCACTGGAAAAGTGCATTTGATGCATGCCAAGCACAATGGGAAAACTACCAGAAATACGAATTCAGGTCCATAGAAAAGACTTGAGTCTGAAAAGCTCATATAAATCGCTTTAGATTTTTGCGCTGTTTGATTTTCGCGCGACTGCTCCTTCCCCAATAACAAACCATAACTTCGATCTACAACGAGAATCAATTTAAAATTTCCCCTGTCTACATCCAAAACCCAAATTTGAAAATGCCGAAACAGTGATGTAACTTTCGATCGAGAGCGAGTAGTAACTCGAAACTTACTTTGTGTAAAACTCCCGAGTTTGCTCCTAATTTTATATACTTTCCTGACTGTGTTTCAATTCCAAATCAAACTCATTCCTGGGTTTCAGTCATTTATTGTCTCTATTTATCAATCAAATACGTTTCGGTGTATTTTTCCACCATCATCAGTTTTTATGTGTAGCGTTGTTGGTGCTTTAAGCCTTGGCATGCATTTTTGCGGATCCAGGGGGCTCATGACCCCCCCCATTCAATTCTCTATCCAACGATGCCAAAACGAATTCTCTGGCTCGAATGGTTCTTGAGAAACTTCGAAAAAAGCAGCGTCATGTTCA